TTCTAGTTTAGTTATAAAAAAAGTTTTATTTTTTGTTTGATTGTTTGTTTATTTTATTTTTTATTTTTTCATTTAATTTGAAAAGGGAAAAACCACTGAACACCTTTTTCTAATTTGGACTTTGCTTTAAACACTATTTCCACTCAAATCTATTGTGAAAAGATGAGAATAAAATCTTAGACAGGAGAGAAGTGTGATGGGTGGCAGGCATAAAACATCTGCTGTGTCACATGTGTGAGCGCTGGAAAGACACACAAAAGGCATCAAAACATCCACTGTTCATGTCAAAACATTTATAGACAATTGTTTTCATCAAACCRTAGAGCAAATATACTTTAACTGCATATTTGACAGAATTTAAAACAAAGTCTGATTGCCAAACAATGGGAATGTCAGCAGAGTGGTGAAGAGAAACTCTGCACATTCGACAACACTTTCACCTTGAAGTGTTAGTGAATGAAAGCCTGAACACATCTTGTTGTTATAACATTGACCAACAAACACATTTCCAACAGAATATAGAGTTTAAAATTCATTTTTTGTTTTGTTTTGTTGCTTAGCCCAAGCAGAAGGGATAGCAGAAAAGTGTTACCTTCAGCCCCGAGGTCAGGTCGGTGGGGTCGAAGGTGGTCAGAGGTGAAGTCCAGGACGTGAGCCATAGGACAGGACAAAGGGTGAGACACACATCGACAGAGGTCACAGAAAAGCACAAAGATATGGCAGCGGGGAGAGGGAGGAAACGCAGGAAGCACAAAAAAAATGGAGATTTAAAGGGTGACGAAAAAGAGGATTGCAACAAGGAGAAAATGAAAAGGATTCAGTCGTAAGAGGGGATTTGGGAGAAAATGGAAGGATATGTCACAGAGGGAAGGTAAGAAGCAGAAAGGGTATTTGTGAGGGAGAGCAGTAGTTTTTTTTTTTGAGCTGTTGGGACTGTGGAAGCTGAATTCCTCTAAAAAAAAGAAAAAGGGGTGGGGGAGAAACTGAACTAAAAACAAACAGGAATGAACCCATACCTTGGTCGTTTAACGTCAGGTGCGCCAGACCTTGAAAGGGAAAAAATAGAAAAAAAGAACACAAAGAGGAAGAAAAGAAGGTCATAAAAGGCACGGGAAGAAAAAAAGCATTGTCACAACGTTGGACTGCAGTTTGTGACAGACATCCTGGGGCAGACTTGGATGTCAGAGTTCAAACCAAAGGTAACAAAAAAAGAAGAAAAGAAAAAAAGAAGAGTGAAAGATAGAGAGATAGAGCAAATAGTAACAGAAAACAAGCAAACACTTCTTGAGTGAGGTGTGGAGGGGGGGTTAGAAAAAAAAGCATTTTCATTTGGCGCAACCCCCGAAGGCTATTGCTCRCACAAATGCTTTTTTTTCTCTCTGAAGTACTTATGGAACACACAGAGAACTGTTTGGCAGAAAAGGCTTGAACTTGATTCTTGTTTTCCAGCAGTACTTAAATCAGAACAGTTTTAGCTCTGCAAAATCTTACAACAGTCTTACAAAAAGGAGTCAAAGATATAAACGAAAAAAACAAACAAACACAACAGGATACAGCAATCCCAGCACAACAACACGAGTGTGCAGCACCACAACAGCTGCCTAAARTAGTGATCCAGCCAACTGAAAGCTATTGTGCACACTTCTAACTAAACATGCAGATCAATAGATTGAAAACAGAGATATCCAATGACYCACTGCTGATGCTGCTGAATAGCAGTGGGTCATTTTTCTTTGAGAAAAATCTGACAAAACCCACAATATAGAAAAATGTTTATGCCATCCTAGAAAAAGGACATTCTTTCCCCAAAGTGAAGATGCACATAAAAGAACCTCACTTGATCTGTAAGACTTTGAGGTAAGTTATTCTGGCATTGTGTAGCTTCTTTTAGTGTAAGCTGAGAGGATAAAAGCACTGAAGTTCTATACATTTGAAAGCACAATAATATGTACAACATGGCTTTTTATTGGATTATTTTTGTGCCATACATGGCAGGAGAGGAAATACCTTATATAT